AGGTCGATCCTGTCGGGCCGGCCGGCGGCAGCAGCAGGCCGCGGCGGCGTCGTGTCCAGGTCGATCCTGTCGGGCCGGCCGGCGGCAGCAGCAGGAGCTGACCGGATGAATGAGCACAGCGCACCATCCGTCGGGGCCCGCAGCTACCTCAGGTCCGGGCTTGGCGTCAGTGGACCGACCCGCCGCGGCCCTGTTCTGCCGCGGTGGGTGCGGGCGTCGGGCTGGCCGCCTCGGACACTTGGCCCCTTGCCCTTACGCCATATCCACGTTTGAGTTGCTGCTACCCTAACGGGGTGCCCCCCGCCGCTGCCCAGCTCCGACCAAAAATATAAAATAAATTACTCTTCCTCCTTCGCCCCCCCCCTCCCCTCCTCGCTGCTGTTTTTCTCCACTCGAACCCCGATGCCTGAGTTGGTTTGGTTGCCTACCGGCTCGGCGGCGTCGCCCAAGATCGGTGGGTTGCATATGGTTTAAGGCGCCTGGGGACGTGTGCGTGACGTGCTGGGGGACCTCACGGGGGCTGGAGCGGAGGCGGAGCGGAGATCTGGCCTCACCCAATGGTAGCATAAATGAGTCGACCAAACCAAGACTCTAAACCATGGAAAGTCGGTATTCATGGTATTGTCATACTGCCATGGAACGAATACGTTCCTTGAGAGTACCACACAAGTTAAAGAAGTCCCATGGCTATCTCTTGCTATGGAAAAATCGATTCCACGGAGATTGCTTCCTCCCTTGGGTGAAATCTTACATGGGGAGATGGATTCCATGGAAACCCCTTCCATCCTTGGGTGACTTATCACATGGAAAAAACGATTCCATGCAGACCCCCCATGGAATCACACAGCGGCCCCATGGAGTTAGTCAATTCACATGGAAACTGTAGTATTTTCCATGGCTTAAGTTGCGTCCCCCATGGAATCACACTCATGGAATCCCATGCAACGCATGGGATTTCTGGACTGGGATTCCAGTCACCATATCGGTTTCGTGCTATGTTGACAAAATCCCTACGAAGTGACTATTCACAGTTCTGTTTCTAACAAAGATATCAATGCTGATCGATCAAATATATGCAGTCGGCGCAGCCGTCGAATCGAATCGGTTCTACCTAGTATAAATCAGGAAACACACTCAGCCTTTAATGCACAGCATTCTACTAGTAATCACTGCTGAGAAGGTATTAAAGTCTTCAGGTGAGCGGAGAAGCCACTTGCGCTCCCCCTCCCCTCGATTACCGTGCTACCAACCTACTACCACCAAACTACGAATTCAAATTAAACGATCGCTTATTTCAAACATCCTCTAGAAAACTTCTAAACTAAACTCGATACGACCGGATTTATACTGATGCTTCGTGCGCAGTTTGAAGTCAATTGAAGTTGCAGTCTTTGAGAAACGTGTGTGATTTCAGATAGACAGACAGACACACAACCAAAGAGTTCCCTGCACCTCATGACAGCAAAGGCTTCGCTAACGCTCAGCCAAAAATGGTACATTCATCCCTCACCACTGATATGTTCGTTAATTCAAGAATTACTTACAATATTCCATGCCTGCTTGTGAATTATATTGAAATTGTGTAACACTATGCTTGCCGCTATATGATCAACTGCATAATCAATATTTGTGTTAGGCAAATAGGTCATGCGTCTCCATAGGGAATCAATACGTCCAAAGGTATGTTCCACTCTAACTCTGACTTGGGACAATTTACGGTTGTAGTTCCTTTGACGAACAGTCAGGTGCCCATTGTTCACAAATGGAACTAGGACCTAAAAGAGATTTAACAAGAGATAAAATGAATTGTGTCCACCCCGAAGACAGCTGACAGAACATTCAGAGGAAAACTTACTCTGTCCAGCAGCATATAAGCTGCATCAGCAATTATATGTTCTCCATTGCTAAACAAATCTTGTCTTTGGAGAATGCTGCGGCACAAGGGGCTTCTCCTAAAAACACGGGCATCATGGAGACTGACGACTTCTCCAATGTATGCATCCCTCACTAGTAAGGAGTCATCTACAACAGCCTGAACTTTAATAGAGTAGCCATATTTATAGTTTCTGTATGCAGCTCTTTCCTCCTTTGGAGCTTTAATAAAAATATGAGAGCCATCCATAATTCCCACAATTCCTGGAAAGTTTGAAATGCGTTGGCAATTTCTTTTAATGGTGTTACGTTCTTCTGCATTTGGCCATGTAATGTAAGTATCTTTCATATCCCGCAGTACTCTGATGACAAGAACATAGTGATCATGAACCTCTGACTTAGAGACTCCAAATCGTATAGTGCTACACTCCGGAGGGAATCAGGGGTAGCCAGGATCCACAACACCATAAGTAAAATGTGAGCAACAGGACGTCTCTCTCTTTCCATCAGCATGTTGTCCACCAGATGGTTTCCAATTTCTTGCAATAAGATCTGCAAAGAACACAAAGAAACTAAAATAGAATCACAACTGTTTCTTAATGATTTACTAGTGGAATCTCAGCATATCTGTTTTTACCTCAAATACAGGCTTGGTAAGCCTAAAATGCCACTGGAATGAGGGGTCACCCATTACACAAAACTCGTTGATATCAACGGTTACGTGCTCCCATAGATTTTCATCGTCATCATCATCTACAAAACGAAAGGAAAAGTAATTTCCAACCGTACATACAAAGGCAGTAATAGCATTAGCTTCTCTTTTGCAGAATAATTACCATCTAGGAAGTCTTCTATCAAATATGCTACAATGCCTAGGAACGCACGTCCAACGATATTCCGTTGTGCCACGTCCATAGCTTTGTTAAACTGACTTCTTCTTATTGATTGATATGATTGCTATCCTCAGTTCTAATACGTTGGGTTTGAATGTTGGAATGTGTAGTTGTTTGTGTACATTTTATGGGTCAGCGCCTCATGGATGCATGCGAACGTCAGCTGTAGTGGATGCGGGAAACTGGGAGAAGTACTTCGAACTGGCCGTGGTCACGGAATTCGTCCTTCTTCCCTGTACTGTTCGAAATGACTGCTTTTTTGGGCGGAATAATATTCCTTGATCTTTCCCCTTACCAAAAATGTAGGGGTCGACCTACTTCCGAGGAATATTAGGGGTACAGAAGCCGATTTCCCGATATCTGCGCTCTACGGAGCGAGCCCCCCCGCCCGACCGACCGCCCGACTCGCCGACCTACCGTTCCTTATCCGAACGCGCCCTTATGCTCAGCTCGCTGCAGCTCACAGCCCACTGTTGTAGCTGCGTAGTACGATCAGTACGATTTTTGCGCGTACCATTTTGAATGACACGGTGGTTGCATTGTTATTGTAACTGGGGAACTGAGCGGGGCGGAGGCAAGGCGGCGGTGGTGACCAGGGCGGAGCAGCTGCAGTGTCCGAGTTCACAGCGGTCCAGGAATGGCGGGAAAACGGGGGAGCTTAGAGCAGTGGCTGAAGTCGGCGCCGAAGCGGCCAGCTACCAACCTGCCGGGAGGGGCCGGCCGAGGCCGCAGCTCAGCGAGTACCAGCTCCTCCGTGGGCCTGCCTGCACCCGGCACCCGGCACTGCTCGGGCACCGGCCGGACGCGGCAGAGGGCGCAAATCATTAGAAGCGATGTTCGAAAACATTGAAGTGAGCAATCGTGAACTGGCTGTCGAGTTATTGCCCACCATTTCCGCTACACCGGTGTTATACTTCACTGGTGCGTAGCGTCGACTTGAGGAGCGCGTCGATGACCCCGGCCCTGCCACGTCCCTACTTGTGGCCACAAAATTGTGGCCACAAACCCGGCGGCCAGAGTCAGCTTAATCCGACCCGACTATAGAACACCCCTTTTCGGGTAATATGAAATCCAAAGCCTTCAGGGTGTAATCAGAAGGTAATAACATGCTCTGCACATAGTCCGTAACGAGCCGAAAGGCCCCGGATGCGTAAAAACAAACGCAATGGGGCCCAGGGGGCCCCAAACAGCTTTTGAAAGAATTGCCTACCCTCCAGGCGCTCTCATCCACAACTTGGCCCTCAGCCACAACTCGTCCCAGGGGTACCCACAGGTTACAAGCAAGTCGGGGGCGCACGGCGAGTATGTATGGCGGG